AGTATTCTAAAATGCTGCCAAGACACAGGTCAAGATACTTGGAAGACTCCTAAGATTTAAAGTATATGGCACTTTACAATCATTATTGTACAAAAACACACACACACGTTTCTCTCCATATACAGAGAGTAATAATAAACTAAGTATGTTATGTGACTTAAATGCTGCTTTGTATTTTCCAATAAAAGATTTGTCATGTAAAATCAGCGACAATATTCGCTACTTCAGAGATACCAAAACAAAACACACCACTCCACTGTTAAGCAGTATGAATATAGAATGAAAATTTTAAATGAGAGTCTTACTATTTACAGACGTGTCCAAACATTTCAATCCTTCCAAACTCCCTGCCCCTTTGTAGGAAGGAGAAAAAGTATACAATTTAGAAATAATTATCTATAAACAAGAATTGTAAGTCAATGTAGTGGTCAAATATGAAATACATACTAGCAGTCTCTTCCAGAAGATGTCTATAGACTAAGAAGTGAGAACTAGATAAAGTATTCCTAATACACTGAATATTGAAAAGTATTTTTCAAAAAATATGGATATTTACAATCAAAACAAAACATGGGCTAAAACAGTAATGTTTATATCATCATAGACATACTTGCAAACACTCTTCTCACATTTATATTTTGTTCTTTTCCAATAAACACCACTTTCTATGTACCATCATGGTAACAAACTGAATGACAATTACAAGAAAACTGAGAAATGCCTGATCACAAATTTTAACCTTAGTGCTGACATCCTAATTTAAAAGCTGGGTCTTCCTGTGCTATAATTAATGAGGCATGGAACCAAAAGAGTAATCTGACCTTAAAATTTCACTTCAAAAATCTTTATTTCACAGGTTCCACATTTTTAAATATTTGACAGAGTTCAAAAATATTTGACAGAGTTGACTCAGTATTTGATGTACTATTTCTAAAAAAGTTACACTTTTGAATTAAGGACATGTACGAATATCCAATCAGACTAGACTGCTAAAAGGTTAAACTGTTTCTTTCACATTGATAAAATGTGTCATTTTATAAGACATGGTAATGCCCAATAAAACAAAAATATGATCTTAAAAAGCTAGGAAGTAAACGAGTCCCAATCGGCAACTGTGTAGAGGGAAAATAGGATTACATTTATTGGCTACTCTATCAACTTAACTTCTCATAAAATCCTCCTGATCTATTAAATAACTTCAGAACTGAAGTATGCTCTCCTATGGGAGTTGTAAAACAAATTAGATACAATTACAATTCAATACAAATAAAAAGCCAACCTATTTACCCTTAAGATGATTCTTGTTTTAGAGCTTTATTATTTGAATTGGACTAGAATTTTCCCTAATGAATCAAGTGGGCCCCTTGACTTAATTATAGATTTTTATATTATACTTTCTATAGAGAAACATAGTTGATAGGAGCAAGCTCTGGAAAACTGTGGTAACTACACCTCCCCAAAGTGAATACAACAAACATCTGTTGCAAGAACTGCTTGGCTTTCAGACAGTATGTAAAGGGTGTTCTTTTTCCCAGTGTTTTGCTATTAAAAAAAAAAAAAAAAGATTATTTGTTAAGAAACATGTTTCTACTATCAATTCTCAAAATGTAAAATCTTAAAATTCTAAGTTAAACACAGGTCATTACCAGGTTTATTATAGAAGGCAAACTATGCAATGTACAAGACTCCAGTCGCATTCTAAAAGGGTAACAAAATAATTGGGCATGTTGCCCTCTGTCTGTGGGTTACAAAGTAATTTTAACCATTGTCTTCCTTTCTTAACTCCTCTACACAAACATCCCAACACTCAGAGCAGAGGAGGGGACTAAATATACAACCTCCTGGGATTTTCTTCCTCTGTTGCAATCCCAGTGATAATTCAACTTTCTCCTTGGGATCTCACCAGTTTCTGAACTCAATATCCTGTTATCCTCATTAAGTGATAAACGAATTCTTAAAGTTTTACTCAAGTGACAGGATAAATAACTGCAATTTTTTTACATAATGCATTAAGCACAAAATGTAATAATTTCAATGGGAGGAAGGGAGGAATCAATGAGCCCTTATGACTCCTCGTCTTTTCTTAACTGCATCAAAGACTTGTTCAGTGCTTTTAGTAAACTGAATACATTTTCCTTGATTCTGTAAGAACAAACTTTTGCCTCAGACTCACAGGTATTTTGCAAAGTAAAAACTCATCTTTTTTAGCATTTGGAAATTACACAAAGTGCACACAAATCAGCAGGTACAAATGAATAAAAATGTTTAAAAGCAACAGAGCACAGGGCACGTAATACCTTTGTAATAAGGAAAGGAGGAGTAGTAAACAGATGACCACCTCTAAACATATTTCAAATAACATGTAAGTTTTTTCACTTTTTAATCTTCTACCCCCTCTTCTACCCATGCCTCCTCCCAACCATTTTGAGATTACCATTCATTAAAAGTTTAAGATTCAGTTTTTACCATTTCACTTTTATGCTAACTTATTAATAAGATATTGATTTAATCCCTAAAACATTTCTGGGGATACTTCAACAAGGCATCATAACATTACTATACTGAGGAACCTCTTTCTCATTCAAGCAATGAGTAAAAGAAGCAGCTTCCATTTCTTTGCCAAATCCAAAGTATGAATACTTCATTATGTTTCGACAAACTTCAAGATCTATAATTGAATTTGCCCAAGTCTTCAATTAAAGTCTAAAATGTTAACATGCACCTGTACAGTCTGTGTTTATATAACCATAGGGAAAATGCCTTAAGCAGTCCTCAAAATGGTATTTGCAAATTCCATTACAAGCAAAAATTTTTTTTTTTTTTAAGATTTTATTTATTTATTTGACAGAGACAGTGAGAGAGGGAACACAAGCAGGGGGAATGAGAGAGAGAGAAGCAGGCTTCCCACCGAGCAGGGACCCCGATGCGGGGCTCGATCCCAGGACCCTGGGATCATGACCTGAGCTGAAGGCAGACGCTTAACAACTGAGCCACCCAGGCGCCCCACAAGTAAAAATTTTGAGGAAAATTCATTTAAAGTTGATATAAATAGAAAGTCAAAGTCATACATATTCCAGTATATACAAGTTTTGAATAATTTTCAAATCATTACATTTTTTTTCTACATTTATAGTCTCTGTCTCAGTAAAAGATGAATCACAAAAAGATATTTGCCCATTTCCTAGGAAAGATAGCTAGCCAACACATGCAAAGCATATTCCAGAGCAATTAATTGTTAAAAGCTTCCTTTCTTCGATGTGACAGTCTTCAATTTTTATGGAGGATTACCCTGAGTTGTGAATTTGATTTCAAGAAAACATTAGTTTCAATTTTATGTCTAAGGAAAACAGTTCCTTAAATTTAAAAGGAAAAAAAAATCAGCTATTGTAAATAACTTGAAAAAGGGATTTGAAGTTATAAGGTCACTTGTATATGTATTTCATATGCTTTATTATAGATGTATTACATATTATTTATGTACAAAACATTATAGTCTATTTGTATTAATACATACCTATATTTCCCACAATGAATCTCAGAACAATGCATTTTCAGCAAGTACCTTATAATTATAAACGAATATAACACTCATAACTACCCATCATTAAATACTATTACATCCATTCTACAGACAGAAAAACTGGTGCTGAGAAGTTAAAAGATTTACCCAAAGCCTTAAGAACAAATCAGGAGGCACCACAACCACAAAGCTGAAGATCTGCACATTAATGACTCTCTGAATAGATTTGCATTGCTTTGTTTTTATCTTAATTACTTAATATTATCTAGATTTCACAAAATCTAAAAAGGGAAAAGATGCTTGCTGACCACTTAATGCTGAATGAAGCAACAGAGGATAGATGAGTTCTATTTAATAAGAAACCCTTGCCTTCTTTGCTATTTTCCTAAAACTTAAATGAAAATTCTCTATGTAGTACCTCTTCTACTGCTTAGTACTTTTAACTTCAAAGTGAATTATCCAAAATCATCCCACTCATTTATTAAGAAAAAAAAAAAAACTGCATTATTGCCATCTTACTGATGAGAAGACAGGGAAGGAACAAAGCTTTTTGAATGGGTCCCACATTAAGTGTGAGAGAAGTCTGGAGTTAGAACATCTTATGTCCTGGACTGTTCATCCAATTTTTCAGACTAAAGGGTAGTGCTGTTCCTCTTAATTATCTTATTCTGAAGTCAGTAAAGGAAGCACAGAATTTTCTAAAGGAGGGGGAGAAACCTATTCTGAAAGTTACAGGTGTAAAGGAATACATGAGAAGTATATTTCACTGTGCTTAGGTTAAAATTCACTACAATTCAAGTTTTAAAAAATTATTCACCTTTGTTATTCCTTTAGCATCCATGAATCAGAAACTCTGCTGGGTGAGACACTGAATTTTTTCTTCCCCCCAGAACTAGGCTCATGTTTTTATAGGTGAGATACAAGCTAAGAAATGAAATTAAATGAGGAAGATAAAGAATGGGTCCATATTAAAGCGTATTTGGTGGCATGGAACTTGCAAGATAAGACATCAATTTTCAGCCTGGCTGGTTACAGAATAGGACTCATTGCTTCTAGTCAACAGTGAGCATTTCAGAGGGACAAGAACATGACATTTGAGGGCAAATGATGCATGGTAATATGCACGATGCATTCCTTGAAAAGCTGGAGAAAAGAATGAACTAAGTAAGCTGGCAGGGTAAAAAATGTTCAATAACCAGGCCTTCAGATGAGAAAATAGATGAGAAAAATATTCAGATAAGTCCTCTAACTTCACTGAACAGTTTTTTAAAAAAAACTATGCTTCCCACGTGGAGAAAGATATATAAACAATAATTTCTATAGATCGATATAGTCTTTCTACTTTCTAAGAAAATTACGGTTTCATGTGGAAAAACAACATAACCAGCATATCCCTAATTATAGGCAAGTTTTCAGATTCCAAGGTGGCAGCAAAAGTGCAACAGACAAGACAAAGAGTTGTCACGTTAACGAGACATACCTCTTGGACTGATCGAGCAGCTGGCTTGTCTTGATGATTAGCCAATATTAAAAAGGGTAAAGTGCATAACTGTGGGTGCTGAAGAGCTGAGTGCAGTTCATTTCTAGCAGTTTCTAAATCATCTTCTGAAGAGGCACTGTCTAATACAAATATTACCCCTTGAGATCCTTGGTAGTAGCGACTCCAATATTTCCGGATATTATCAGCCCCTGTCAAAAACAAAACAAATTCTCTTTTTAAAAATAGCATTCAGAAACTGAAAAAACACTGAACAGTACTGTTGGGAACACTCAACAGTAATTCCTACTGGAAACCAGTGTAGCTTTTAAAAATTAAGTGCAGAAAACATGGTTGATGACAACAAAGGCATGAGAGCCAACAAGTGGATGTAGCCTTGAAGAAGAACACCAAAGTTGAGGAGTCATTCTTCATACCTTTCTTATCAAAATATGTGAGAAAAACCAGGATACTTTTTAGATTCAAACTCAAAATGTTTTCAGATTTTGCTTACTAGCCCAAAATAAACTCCATTCTTTATAAATTGAGTCTGAGCCTAACTCAGAGAGCAGTGTAACCTAGCTGTTCAGAGAGGCTTTTTTTTCCAAACAATGAACATTAGCTTGATATTTTCTAAAAGAATTGCTTGCTGATCAGGGCAGCCTTGTTTAATTTCATCTAGAAAGTGAAAACTACTAGCACAATACCTTCATGTATCAAAGTGCTGAAATTTGTGATGAATTAAAATCTTGATACATTTGCATAAACCCATTTGGCAATGAGCATCCTCATGGCCTTGGTATGACGGGGTGTTCACAAAAGACACTGAGATTCTCATCAGCCAGGGCCACGTCTTATTCTTCTTTGTATTCCCAATATCCAGCACAATATATAACTTGAAGCTCAGTACAGGAATGAGGGAAATGAGGGAAGGAGGAAGTGAAATTATACACTAATTAGGCTTTATGGATTTTGAGACTAGAAAGACCTGGAGAGACTGTCCAGTCCAACTGTCTGAGGAAATTGGGGCCAAGAGAGGTGAAGTGAGTAATCCCCATTCATATGTCTAGTCAATCACAAAACTGAGATTTGCATCTGAGTAGACAACCTATCCAGGGAGGGCATGGGCATTCCCCACTACATCATGATGACTGCTTCCTTTACTTTCATTCAATTCATGAATAGCACAGGCAGTGTTTGTATGGGGGGGTGTGGTTAGGGGATGGAGAGGGAGGCTTATTGGTTATACAACAAAAATTAGATAAAGGTATTTCATCAATTTAGTGCATACGATCAAGTCTTAACCTTAAGTTCAGTAACTACATGTTAGCCATCCATTGAATATTTAGCTCCTATATTGAATATACTGTGCTAAGTGCTAGGGGCACAGAGATTAAGGACTGGAGTCAGCATGCACTAACTGGCAACGGCCAAACGTGTGCATCTCTTTCCAATTCTGTGTTCAAGGACACCATACTGGAAGCTCGAAACTGGACAGGGTGGGAATATTTTCACCATCAAAATCAACAACAGCTATCATCAGGTCTTTTCTTCCCCTGAAGGCCAACACACCACTGGATGACATTAAGAAGCCCACATTTTTCTGTGAGAAATAGAAAATAAATAAATAAATAAATAAAGCCCTGTGAGAGAGGTACTCCTTAAGCGGGATGAGAGCAAGAGAGGTGGCATCTCAACTGGACTGGGCAATTCTCTTCAAAAATAGTAGTTACCAAACACCTACCATTTATTAAGCACTTTCTAGGTCCAGGCACAGTGCTAGGTGTTTTCAAAAGAAGAGCTCATATAATTCTTATAACCACCCTAAGAGGGAGGTATAATTGACTCAGGATTTAAAACTAATTTTCAGATTTTAAAATCCAGGGTATTTGCCATAATATTTTGCTGAAACAACCTGCTATATAAGATGATCAAGGACAGTTAATGTTGAGTAACCTTCAATATGTAAAGACATGGCATATGAATAGGGGTAACATCCAACCAAGAAAGCAGAACAAAACAAAGCAAAAGAAATTAAGCCAGAGATTATTTAATATAGGTAGGCAGTTGCATAAGTGATGGTTGAACTAAGAAAACAACAGAGGCATGGAAATTAGCAACACCTTAGGCCAGGTTCCCTAGGAACAGAGTCTGAGATGGCATTTCTTGAATGCCTAATTACAGATAGTATTATCAGGAGAAACCAGGAGTGAAAAAAAAAAAGCAAGCTAGAATTGGGAAGGAGCTAGGCAAAGATACGGTTTCAGAAATCCAACCTCAGCTTGATCCACTGAGGAACTCTAGAGCATGTACTAAACCACAGAAGTTGTCCAGTCCAAAGGCAAGGGGGCTGGGCTGCTATACCCCTGTACAGTCATTGGCTATGAGCCACCCTAGGGAACAGGAGGGGGTAGGGATGTGATCTCATACTCTCCCAGACATACTTAGTTGAGGCAATTACGGTCAGCCAAGGGCAGGCCTCTGGAGAAGGGTACAGGTGTGAGTTATTAGCAGCCAATACTCGCAGCAGCTGGGAGATGGATGCACTGGCCCAGTAAAGGAGATCTGGGTAGGATACCAACAGCATCTGCTACAAGCTACATCCAGACATTATCCATATGCTAGAGAACCATCCATAAGCTTGAGGAGCAAAAGTAGCAGCAGTGTTACCTGATGGTAAATGTTTAAAACAAAAATACTGTGCATGTACATATCTGTACATAATTTATTACAAATTTTATTAAAGGATGTGTAGCACACAATTTTCATCTAACATATGCAACATGCTTTACTGTAAATTCCATAGAGCTCATTAATGCTCACAAAATGGTTCCGTGATTTTGCCCAACTTTTGTATCCATAGTCAACCAACAGTTGCAATTGACCAAGTACAGTTCCAAAATAAATGTTGGTTCTGCTAAGTGTTTTACATGTATTAAATCATTTACCCTTGACAATCTTAAGAGGCAGGTATTCTTATGGCTCTCATTTTACCAATAATAAAATTAAGACATGAAACGATTACATAATGTGGCCAAGGTTACACATCTAAAATATATATTTAGGTCTCATGAGATTGAAAGAGAAGGATCATTGACTGGGAAGGTGATAAAACTAAGCAAAACACTCTATTACCACATAAGCCAAGGCGGGGGGTGGGGGGGTGAAGCAACCTATTAGAATAAAAGGTATTAGGTGCCTATATATATTAATGCTCAGAGTAGGAACATGTCCAAGAACATTTCCAGCCAATTAATTCAATGAATAGTATTATGAAGTACTATTCTATACAAGTCACTGAGCAAGAACCAGAAGAAATATTTAAAAATCCATTATTCCCTTTAGATCAAATCCTCAAATTCTTTCGAGTAATAATAACTACAACAAGGCCTATAAATACATTAGAGGGAATCAATACGGCCACAGCATTAAGAGGGTGTGCAGAGAATCAAATATAAAGAGAAGAATACTGGTTGCATATTCCAATGGAACTTTTCCGTTGGAAATACGTGGGACATACTCAAAATCCAACTCATGAGGCTCATCTCTTTCAACAAGAAACTATTTCCATCTGCCACATTTAGGAGCACATAAGACACCTGAAAATAGTGAGACAAAATGATGGTGAGTCCAATGATTGTGTTGGTAGAAACAAACCCAAAAAGAAATGTCATAATTCCTTAAAATGTCCCGTCTATGACAAAGTATGTGAATAATACATTATTAATGGTGCAAAGACCCTTTTCTTTAGTCTGCTACCACACAGTTATCTGCCCAATCTTAGCATTTCTGATGTTCATCACAAACATTGGGCCTGGAATTCGAAATTCCAGTTCAGCCTTTTGCCCAATGGCTTGGTCAGCAGCAGCCTAAACCCAGATTAGGGCCCAGGAAACCAGCAGTGGGACGAAGGGTTGTATAAAGTTGGTCAGTCTGGCTGAGTGGATCTTAGTTAAGCCACCAGATTAAAATGAGAAATGGATATGTCATTAACCAGCTGCCAGATGCTTTGAGAAGCAAGCCTAACTGGGAGAATTCAGAACACCCATTTGATGTCCACATCCCAATATTCCTCATCCACAAACGGAGTCCAAAGGGAGTAACATAACACAGGACATCACATCAAACAGTGGTCTGGGGCCACTCATTTTAATTACTGAATAGTGCATGCTTTGTGTCATTTAAATTGTTATATAAAAAGGTTAAACACCCAACTCAAACCCGGCCTGTATTTTGTACACTGATTAAAAAACAAAGGGGTATCTTAACAGTAGAGAGGGTCCGATACTGCCTTACTAAACGTTGTAAGGAGCCTTTGGTCATCTAAGAGTTCAATCTGAGATCCAATCAATCAGGAGAGCCTGGTTTAAGCCACTACAAGAGAAAAACTAGAAGGTAGGAGCGTAACGTGTCTTCATTATGCAAGGTTCTTTTTAAAGGCACACTATGGCAACTATGGACAACTATGGAACATTCTCTTAATATTCATTAATTCATCTAAGAGACGATTATTGAGCACCTGGCACCATCCCAGGTGCTGGGGACATAGTAGCAAACAAAGACAGACAAAAACTTCAGTCTTCACAGGGCTTACATTCTTTACCAGCAGAGCCAGCCTAGCATTACAGAGGTTAAAAATGCCAAGTATCTGTTTTCCAAGTTCTCTCCTACAGCATGGGCAGATTATTCAGTTCTAGTAAACTGGGACTCAACAAAGGTTTGCTGGGAGCTTCTGAAAAAAAAAAAAGTGTCCCTCAATAAAAAGAGAGATGTCCAAAGAGAGCCACCTCTCTCTCCTGGTTTTTTTTATTTCATTAGGTGATAAGATGATGCTTTGAACTGTGTTAACCCAGCAGTCTTGAAGGAGACACGCCAACACACTGAGGACGTCAGAACGGGAAGACAGAAAGAGCCTGGGTCGTTGAGAACACTGCTGAGCAGCAGTACCAACCACCAACATTGTAAGAACTCCTTATTCTGGAGTACAGTAAATGCCCATTATTCAAGCCAATTTTAGAAGACTACTTTGTTATTCACAGCCAAAAAAATGCTTAGTTCCCTTAAGTTAAAAGACCATAAATTTCTTACAAGAGTTGTTCTTTGAAAGATAAACCCAATGAGCTATAAAAAGCAAACAAACAAAAACAGGGATATACAGGAGTCAACAATAACAATAAAAACAGTTGTTCAAAGTTGTCCCTATGGCGGGGGG